TATCGGGTATTTAAAGCAAGATCTCAATATATAATTTAGAATTACAAGGAAAAAAAACCACAACAGAAAAGCAATATTCTGAATCTTAAAAGAACTTTTGTATAACTAAATCTAAACAATTCTATTGGCTGGTCCCAATAGCGGCCGAGGCTATTAGGACCCGGGTCCCAATAGCGGCCGTGGCTATTGGGACCCGGGTCCGAATAGATGCATCCAATTACTAATTAGGCCTAGGACTAATAATTATATTTATAATATCAAAATCCATTTTCTTAAGCCCCAAATGAGCTAGAAACATCAAAATCAACTGTACTCTTTGTCAAGTTAGTCGTAAGTCTTAACTGGTTGGTTAGAGATAGATCTAGATCTGTAACTGTAGTTTTCATTGTTATTGTTTAGAAGGCCTAAAATAAAAATAATCAAATTATATTATATATATATATATATATATATATATATATATATATATATATATATATATGTGTGTGGACAGATAGACCTATGAAATCAAATTACGTTTAACAGAAGAAAAAATAAATAAAACACATTTTTACATGCGCGCTCAACATTCGCTCGGCCATAGAAGTTCATACCATAGGCCATAATTACGTTATAGACCTAACGATACCCGCTCATCAAAACATTTGTCAGTAATGATATCGGGTATTTAAAGCAAGATCGCAATACATCATTTACAATTACAAGAAAAAAAATCACAACAAAAAAGATACTCTGCATCTTAAAAGAATTTTTGTATAACTAAATCTTTACAATTCTATTGGCTGGTCCCAATAGCGGCCGAGGCTATTAGGACCCGGGTCCCAATAGCCTCAGCCGCTATTGGGACCCGGGTCCACATAGATGCATCCTTTTGGTAATCTATCGTTTTGGGTACGTAAAATCGCCCACGGCTAGTAATGTACGAAAAAATTTCCTCATTGTCAAGGATTTAATAGAAGTATATTGTGATATGTTTGTGTCAAATATTGTAGATAAATGAATAATAAACCTAAATCAATGGCTAAATATATAAATATGGGCTAGAAATTAACTTTAAACAGCAGTGTTTGTGAGCAAGATTTGCTTATATATAAACAGCAGCCATTTGGAAAATAGAGTGGCTTCCCCCTGAATCTCGCGCTATAAGTTTAGAAAAAAACTTAAACAAGATGGCTGCTATAGTAAATGAGCATGGTTGCATCTGTTGGAAATATCGCTAGTTTTCAATTATTACTGAAAAGTTTTAATTCAATTGTTTTAGAAACATTTTTGTATTTTTCAAAATATAAATCCTCTTCAAAATGTGAAATACTTATTAAAATTTAAGGAGTCACCAGTTTTTCACATTGCTAGTCGCGGGTGATTTTACGTACCCAAAACGATAGATTACCAAAATTTTTATTTAGCGGATTTAGCGAGTAGATTCTAGTAGGGATTTTGGTAAAAAAACACTAATCATCATATAAAAATAAAAATTACATACTCTTGTAGAGCTCAACTATATGAAAACAAAACAAAAAAGATTTTCTGTCTAGCTCAAATAGTTTTTTTTTAGCGAATTTTTTTGTGAGGGGTGGAATGCCCTTGCTTTTGCATTGGCCAATTGTGACAAGTCATGGTATACCTGAATAAATTGAGCATAGTTATTTTACTTGCAGTTGTATTTTGTTCATATTTGCAGAGTTGAGCTAGAATGATATATAGATCTTGTATATGCTGTTGAAATAAATAAAAATAATACAGAAGTATATTTTTGTGTTGGCTTCCTTTCATAACCCCAAAAAAACTGTGCTGCGCAAATATGAAAATGTTTCTAAAGCAATGTTTTACAGTGAATGAAAGAACTACAAAGTTAGCAATCTAAAGTAAATGACTTGAACACTGAAATGTGCATATAACTGCATATAACTGCCCCATTATTTTGGGCAGGTGAAGTAGAGTCCATCTTTAAGACATTTTGTTATAAAACTGCTGCGCAAATATGAAAAAGTTTCTAAAGCAATGCTTTATATAAATACAGTGAATGAAAGAACTACATAGTTAGCAATCTAAAGTAAATGACTTGAACACTGTAATGTGCATATAATTGCCTTATTATTTTGGGCAGGTGAAGTAGAGTCTATCTTTAAGCCATTTTGTTAAAAGTGAACTGAAGTTATCTGATCAATGTTTTTATGTGTGTATTGTGTATGAATTCTGATTTTCAGCATATAGATCTAAATATAACTAAGTAAGGGTAAGTAGAATTTGAATACTTAAAATTACAGTTAGCACATAGCTAGTGTAGTGTATTCTAGCAACAGACAGGTAACCTATGTCTGACTCAGCAAAATTTTACTTCAAGCAAAACTAGAACCAGAGTTGAAAAAATGAAAGACAGGTAGATCTATATTAAAATATGTTTAAAACAACAAGTAGGAGATTTGTTTGTACATTACATAAGAATACTGTTGTTAGTGTATCAAAACTAAAAGCCGGCAGATCGGGATGAAGAAATATAACATTGGAGTCAATGGGGGCAACGTGACCTACTTACGGTGACTACTTTCAAATGAGTATTTACTAATGTCAAAGTCAAAATATCCAAAAATAAATATCATTTCTATAAAAATGGGATGTATCTGCTTTGGAAACTTTCATTATCTAAATGGAAACTTTTCAAAAATCGCATTTTTAAAGCATTTGAAGTTAACCTTTATACCGCGGTAAGACCAAAGCAGAGACAGCATGCAATCAGATCGCTAAGCCATCAAAACAACTGGAAAACCATTCTACTTTTCATTTAACATTAGGAAATGACCTTTTAAACTTAATTAATTACCATAAATTAAAAACTTATTAGTATGCAAAACTAAATCTCGTGCGCCCGGTATCAGAAAGTAATGGGAGATTTCGGGTCATGTTTTTACCGCGATCTCGGCCGATACCGACAAGCCTAATTCTAGAATCTAGTTCTAGGCCTATCTAATCTACTAGTAAAGATACTAGATACATCTAGATCTAGTAGATATGCCTGGCCTAGAATTCTAGATCTAGACCTCTATCACCTGCTAGTAGTAATACTAGGGTAGTAGATCTAGTAGTTAATTAGTAGAAGTCAAGTACTTGAAGTAATACTTAATACTTAGCGAGGCTCACTAAATCTTAATTTTAATTATTTATTTTTTTAACCAATACCAATAAAAGCTAGAGATATTTCTCTAACTAACCAGGCACTACATTTGATGATTTTAGCTCATTTTGAACTAAAATACATGATTTTAATTATTGGTGCCATACAGCTTAGCTGGGAAAGATTTTTCCATGACAACCATTCAAAGATCTGGTTCCTAAAGTTGACCTGAAAACGACCAAGGAGGTTCGTAAGGATCATGTGTGGGGAGGGGGAAGTGGAGGTATGCTGCAATAAAACGAAATCGAAAGGATACTCGTAACTTGGTTATGTAATCTATTTACTGTATTTCTAGTAAACGCCAAAGGAATGAACCAAAAAAATCACGTATAAATGTTTAAAAATATATAGATCTAAACTTTTTAAAGGTATTCATTTTCACTTTTATTCAGTCTTGATTAATCAGTGTAAATAGGAATGTTTAATTAGGACAATTAGGCCTAATAATAATAGATTGAGTTAACGGCGGAATCTAACCCTCCTCCCTTATCCAGCATGGAAGCTTTGTCCAGGCTGAGTTTTAAATATTAAAAAAAGTAGATCTAGAATCTATATAGACATAATAAAATATCTGTTTTTATTTTTAAAACTGTCGTTGCATTAAATTTCATCACATGTGAGCGAGAAATGCATTCCAAACATCGCCACTCATAGGCTGTGCGTAGTGACGGCTCGCTCGCGTTGTTTTGTCAACGAGAGAAACATCGCCCGTCCGAAGCTAGACATATCCAGGCGGAGTTTTAATACTTAAATTTGTATCTAGAGCTGGTGTCTAGATCTATTTAAAGATTGTTAGGCTACGCCTATCACATTAACGTTGATCACTTGTGAGTGAAAAATTATGCAAATTCGTCACGAGCCCGCTTGCGTTCTTTCGTCACGCGAGCGTGTGCGCAAGTCCAAGTACTGTGTCAACTAGATCTAGATCAACTTTTGTTTATGCAGGCTGTCCTCTAATATGATTATTATAATTTATTAGCCAAGTCCTTCTGGATCTAAATCATAATAATCAATTATATAAAAAATGAAAGCAAATGAAAATAATATTAACTATAATTCGATCAAGTCGTAATTAGTAATAATAAAATCAAGTAAATAATTTAGCACCTAGACTTTACTAGACGTATCGAGATCGCGTTTCACCACGAGATCACCGGTTTACGGGCTTTTACAGAAATACCAACTAATTCCTATCTTCCCATGTTCAGATCGAAATACTTAATTAATTTGTCCAGCAATGTAAAAATCAAAATTGGAAAATATTCACTTAACGCTTGTCAACATAAATAACAACACAAACGTAGTAAAGAGTCGATAGAGCCACCTAGGCAAACGTCTCCCGCCCAATAGCGGTCACGTGGGTTATGGAATTTTTACTTTTGGTGGTGACCGTTTTGGAGAATTTTTTTAAAAATTAGCGCATGTAATATTCGATTTATTTTTACACAGACTGCTAAATCTAATATTGATGTACTTTCGGTTTCCGATCTACATCGTAGAAGCTAATATTTAAAAAGATCTACGAATGTTTGTCGGCACCACTTTTTGAGCTTCGGTCTTCATTATCCAAAGCAATTTATAGCGTTTCTCTGGCATATTTAGCACTGCCATTTATAGTTTGTTTACATTATGTGAAAAAACCGCCATTTTTCACGAGGTAAACATTTTAAAAACGAATTCCTAGAAAGTCACTTGGGCAGACAAGAAAAATGTCCGAAACTAAGCGTCCGGTGTAGGACGCCATGTTGTTGTTAGCAACCAGAGACGCTTTCAAGTTAGTGAGCCTCGCTATAATAATACTTGACAAGTATTTTTTGTTTGGGCCTACCGATTGAAAGTGTGATGATGCATAGCTGGATAAGCAAAGCAATCCAACTTAACAAGTAGAGGAATGCCATTTCCCTGCAAACTTTAAGTTCGAAATTAGTAAACAGCTAGATTTCTAGATCTAGTAGATCTAGTTATAAATCAACGTAAAAATTAATTTGTTGTCAGCACTGCATCACCGACATTGTTGACAAATCAGAGCGCTCTCCCCTGCTAGTTTCATAAATTCCGGCGCATGCAGATTTTTAAAAATTCTAAATAAAATGTAGGTCTATTGATGAATGTAAATTTTAATTAGGCAACGTCCATATCGGTGTAAGATCAGATAATATTATATTATGTTATATTTTTTTGCACGGGCAAACATTTCTCTGTCAGGTTTATAAAGAACAGTCTATTTCTTGAAAGGAATGTAGATCTTGACACTGTTTCTTTCAGGCATCTCCGAGCATGTGTACCGCCACCACCCCCCCTCCACCCCCGAAGAAATTATTCTGAAAGAAACACTGGATCTAGATCTAAAAATCTATTCTACAACTACTATTGTTGAAAAACATTTTAATATCCTATTTGTCTAACCCTAAGCTGTGTACTATGACTACAGCCTGCATCGAACTAAAACTCTTGTAAAAGACATTTAAAATATAAAATATCTGCTCCTATTTAGATACTTCAATTATTTTTTTATATTCGCGTACGCGCGGAGGGGAGTTCGTAATTTGGAGACAATGTGTGATGACAGTGGCGAGTTCAGATAGTATGACGTCACACTTTTGCATTTTAAAAAGTAATGTTAGGAATTGAATTTTAGTCGTTATTTCCCGTTTTAGAAAACTGTTTTAATAAAGTGTAATGAACTCTTTAAAATGCTATATGTTGATCGAGCTCAGTGAATATCTTAGAGGGGGAAAATCGATGTTCTAATGTTATTAACTTGTTTGAGTAATTAGCTTATATTGAGATACTGTACTTGAGTGCTGTACTTGCTTAAGTTTGTTCTGTACCCCCACTTCACCCCCTCCACCCCCACCCCCCAAAGATCACTGCTATTTTCTTATCTTTGTTTTGTATACATTGCATTAATGTCACTCATCCCACTCAAGTTGCATATCATATCTCAAAAAATTACGTCTCTTAGGTGAGAAAGAACCGAAAGAACAATTTTAATTTGGCCTGCTTGGCTAATCTGGCTATTTGATGATGTATTTAATTTTTCCAATATGGCCGCTCAGGGGCAGGAAGCAGTAAAATCATCTGATCATCTGAGCAACTTTTTTTGTTTACCATGAGATGTATGTGGTTACAGAGTTGAAACGATTTTAATTTGTATAGAACACTACAGCTAATATGAACAGACACCAAATCCTCACAGGAGCTTGCAATGGGGGATACTGTTATGCTCTGGGAAGTGTTGAAGGTGTCGTTTTTATTGTGAGTTCAGTTTCAGATATTAATTAAATTATTTTAGATTTTAGGCCTAAATATTTTTTCTCCACTTACTAACTTACTAATAAAATACTAGCTAGACTAACTAACTAAATAGTTCATATAGTCTACTAGTAACTTAGTTAGTTAGTGGTAAGTTAGTAGACTTACTTAGTACTTACAGTTAGTTTTCTAAGGCCTAAATTTTAAAACATTTTAGGCCTAGATCTAGATCTAGATGTGATGATTCTATTCAATTATTGGATGATATTTTCATTTGAAGACTCTGCTACCTTTAGGACCTGAGACGAGACCTAAGTTAAAGTTATCACAACTACTAACAACTGCCCAAGTGCCTACTAAAATTACTAGGCTAAAACTTAAGCTAGGCCTTATAATTTATAGATCTAAATCTAGATTCTAGTTGTAATTTTATAGTAGTTAGGCCTAAACAAACCACTGTCCATAGCACTCATGGCTCATTTCTTTCCTTTCAATGAGAAAACTGTTGCAGGCCTAGAATCTACCTAGGCCCTATCAATTTTAAATTAACAACTTCAATCAATAATAAATATCAATAAGAAAAAAGTCTCGCTATTAAATTTTATACCTTAAGCCCTAGTTAAATTAAATTCCTTTCCATTTCTTTAACTAGGACTGAATAAATATAAATATTTTCAAAAAAATGTTTAAGATCTGGAATGGTAGTTTTGCTTTGAAATACACATGCACAATGCATAGTGAGTCATGGTGCTACAACACTAGTAGTGGTCATTGTGCTACAACACTAGTAGTGGTCATTGTGCTACAACACTAGTAGTGGTCATTGTGCTACAACACTAGTAGTGGTCATTGTGCTACAACACTATTAGTGGTCATCGTGTTACAACACTAGTAGTGGTCATTGTGCTACAACACTAGTAGTGGTCATTGTGTTACAACACTAGATCTAGTAGTGGTCATTGTGTTACAAACTAGCTAGGAGACTTGATATTTGTGTATGACAATAACTGTTTGTGTCTGCAGGCTTATGCTTCAGGATGTGATATCGTCATTTTAGCCAGCAACTTTGAGCGGGTGGTCACCATCCCTGGTGTGCTCAGAGGGAGTATCAAGGTCAGCTGTGTGGACTGTTCTACAGATACAGGCAAGGTAGGTCATCTGGGTCATGTGACCTGTGGCAGTTGATATGGCAAGCTTTTTTCTGTGCTGTAGACTTGCAGTCTACATGCTGTAGTGCAGGATTGTCCCACCATTTTTACATGCTTTAGTGCAGGATTGTCCCACCATTTTTACATGCTGTAGTGCAGGATTGTCCCACCATTTTTACATGCTGTAGTGCAGGATTGTCTCACCATTTTTACATGCTGTAGTGCAGGATTGTCCCACCATTTTTACATGCTTTAGTGCAGGATTGTCCCACCATTTTTACATGCTGTAGAAGAGATACTAGGAGGTTCTGTCACTAGTTTTATAGAAGAGAAACTAGGCATCACTAGTCTTATAGAAGAGAAACTAGGCATCACTAGTCTTATAGAAGAGAAACTAGTCATCACTAGTCTTATAGAAGAGAAACTAGGCATCACTAGTCTTATAGAAGAGAAACTAGGCATCACTAGTCTTATAGAAGAGAAACTAGGCATCACTAGTCTTATAGAAGAGAAACTAGGCATCACTAGTCTTATAGAAGGGAAACTATGCATCACTAGTCTTATAGAAGAGAAACTAGGCATCACTAGTCTTATAGAAGAGAAACTAGTCATCACTAGTCTTATAGAAGAGAAACTAGGCATCACTAGTCTTATAGAAGAGAAACTAGTCATCACTAGTCTTATAGAAGAGAAACTAGGCATCACTAGTCTTATAGAAGAGAAACTAGGCATCACTAGTCTTATAGAAGAGAAACTATGCATCACTAGTCTTATAGAAGAGAAACTAGGCATCACTAGTCTTATAGAAGAGAAACTAGTCATCACTAGTCTTATAGAAGAGAAACTAGGCATCACTAGTCTTATAGAAGAGAAACTAGTCATCACTAGTCTTATAGAAGAGAAACTAGGCATCACTAGTCTTATAGAAGAGAAACTAGGCATCACTAGTCTTATAGAAGAGAAACTAGGCATCACTAGTCTTATAGAAGAGAAACTAGGCATCCCTAGTCTTATAGAAGAGAAACTAGGCATCACTAGTCTTAAAGAAGAGAAACTAGGCATCACTAGTCTTATAGAAGAGATACTAGACAGTGCTATCACTAGTCTTATAGAAGAGATACTAAACAGTTCTATCACTAGTCTTATAGAAGAGATACTAGACAGTTCTATCACTAGTCTTATAGAAGAGATACTAGACAGGTCTGTCACTAGTAATAATAGTAATATAGAAGAGAAACTAAGCAGTTCTGTCACTGGTCAAAAAATAAATTTCCTCAGATTGCTGCAAGTTTTGGCAGAAAAATTCATATCTTTGAACCCACACCATCCAGCACAGAGAGCGGCCATGTGAGTGTCATTTTTATAATGTATTTTATGATAGTCTGTTGTGTTTTATGTTAGTCTGTCATGTTTGATGTAAGTCTGTCATTTTTTATGTACGTCTGTCATGTTTAAGTTTGTCATGTTTGAGGTAAGTATGTCATGTTTTATGTTGGTCTGTCATGTTTAATTTAAGTCTGTCATGTTTATGTTGTGTTTTATGTTGGAGGTACATGTGAATTTGTCTGGTATTATGTTAATTACCATATGTAGGTACCATATGAAAGCTATTTGATTGAGTACTTGACACATATAAGTATGTTAAGTTTTTAAATTGAATACTTGACACATGTTGTCAAGTTATTTGATTGAGTACTTGACATATGTTGTCAAGTTATTTGATTGAGTACTTGACACATGTATGTTGTCAAGTTATTTGATTGAGTACTTGACACATGTATGTTGTCAAGTTATTTGATTGAGTACTTGACACATGTATGTTGTCAAGTTATTTGATTGAGTACTTGACATATGTTGTCAAGTTATTTGATTGAGTACTTGACACATGTATGTTGTCAAGTTATTTGATTGAGTACTTGACACATGTATGTTGTCAAGTTATTTGATTGAGTACTTGACATATGTATGTTGTCAAGTTATTTGATTGAGTACTTGACACATGTATGTTGTCAAGTTATTTGATTGAGTACTTGACACATGTATGTTGTCAAGTTATTTGATTGAGTACTTGACACATGTATGTTGTCAAGTTATTTGATTGAGTACTTGACATATGTTGTCAAGTTATTTGATTGAGTACTTGACACATGTATGTTGTCAAGTTATTTGATTGAGTACTTGACACATGTATGTTGTCAAGTTATTTGATTGAGTACTTGACATATGTATGTTGTCAAGTTATTTGATTGAGTACTTGACACATGTATATTGTCATGTTATTTGATTGAGTACTTGACATATGTAAGTTGTCAAGTTATTTGATTGAGTACTTGACACATGTATGTTGTCAAGTTATTTGATTGAGTACTTGACACATGTATGTTGTCAAGTTATTTGATTGAGTACTTGACATATGTATGTTGTCAAGTTATTTGATTGAGTACTTGACACATGTATATTGTCATGTTATTTGATTGAGTACTTGACATATGTAAGTTGTCAAGTTATTTGATTGAGTACTTGACACATGTATGTTGTCAAGTTATTTGATTGAGTACTTGACACATGTATGTTGTCAAGTTATTTGATTGAGTACTTGACACATGTATGTTGTCAAGTTATTTGATTGAGTACTTGACATATGTTGTCAAGTTATTTGATTGAGTACTTGACACATGTATGTTGTCAAGTTATTTGATTGAGTACTTGACACATGTATGTTGTCAAGTTATTTGATTGAGTACTTGACATATGTATGTTGTCAAGTTATTTGATTGAGTACTTGACACATGTATATTGTCATGTTATTTGATTGAGTACTTGACATATGTAAGTTGTCAAGTTATTTGATTGAGTACTTGACACATGTATGTTGTCAAGTTATTTGATTGAGTACTTGACACATGTATGTTGTCAAGTTATTTGATTGAGTACTTGACATATGTATGTTGTCAAGTTATTTGATTGAGTACTTGCCACATGTATGTTGTCAAGTTATTTGATTGAGTACTTGACATATGTATGTTGTCAAGTTATTTGATTGAGTACTTGACACATGTATGTTGTCAAGTTATTTGATTGAGTACTTGACACATGTATGTTGTCAAGTTATTTGATTGAGTACTTGACATATGTATGTTGTCAAGTTATTTGATTGAGTACTTGACACATGTATATTGTCATGTTATTTGATTGAGTACTTGACATATGTAAGTTGTCAAGTTATTTGATTGAGTACTTGACACATGTATGTTGTCAAGTTATTTGATTGAGTACTTGACATATGTAAGTTGTCAAGTTATTTGATTGAGTACTTGACACATGTATGTTGTCAAGTTATTTGATTGAGTACTTGACACATGTATGTTGTCAAGTTATTTGATTGAGTACTTGACATATGTATGTTGTCAAGTTATTTGATTGAGTACTTGCCACATGTATGTTGTCAAGTTATTTGATTGAGTACTTGACATATGTATGTTGTCAAGTTATTTGATTGAGTACTTGACACATGTATGTTGTCAAGTTATTTGATTGAGTACTTGACATATGTTTTCCCTCCCTAGGGCTCACAATTAGGGAGAAAGCCAAAGGTTTGTCTTCTGTTCCTCCCAGCTTCTTGTTTGTGGCAGCACTTAGCTCCCCTGTCCCCATATCTATCACCTGTCTTATCCTATGGTAGTCATCAAAACTGGTCAGCTCCCCTAGGTGCTATGTATGTAAGACTAGCCTTCACTTCAATCAACACCAGTACAAAGAGCAAAGTTTATTCCTTTACAAACACGGGACCCAGAATCAGCTGCACCTCTGACTGTAATGTCTACCTACAACTACCAACTTGACCAACTCTACACTGTCCTAACTGAAACTTGGCTCTGTGCTTCTCTGCTCACACTTGACCATGACTGCTCATCAAATGACCAACCTCTCATGACCTTATCAAATGACCAACCTCTCATTACCTCATCAAATGACCAACCTCTCATGACCTCATCAAATGACCAACCTCTCATGACTGCTCATCAAATGACCAACCTCTCATGACCTCATCAAATGACCAACCTCTCATTACCTCATCAAATGACCAACCTCCCATGACTGCTCATCAAATGACCAACCTCTCATGACCTCATCAAATGACCAACCTCTCATGACTGCTCATCAAATGACCAACCTCTCATGACTGCTCATCAAATGACCAACCTCTCATGACTGCTCATCAAATGACCAACCTCTCATGACTGCTCATCAAATGACCAACCTCTCATGACCTCATCAAATGACCAACCTCCCATGACTGCTCATCAAATTACCAACCTCCCATGACTGCTCATCAAATGACCAACCTCTCATGACCTCATCAAATGACCAACCTCTCATGACCTCATCAAATGACCAACCTCTCATGACCTCATCAAATGACCAACCTCTCATGACTGCTCATCAAATGACCAACCTCTCATGACTGCTCATCAAATGACCAACCTCTCATGACTGCTCATCAAATGACCAACCTCTCATGACCTCATCAAATGACCAACCTCTCATGACTGCTCATCAAATGACCAACCTCTCATGACTGCTCATCAAATGACCAACCTCTCATGACCTCATCAAATGACCAACCTCTCATTACCTCATCAAATGACCAACCTCTCATGACTGCTCATCAAATGACCAATCTCTCATGACCTCATCAAATTACCAACCTCCCATGACTGCTCATCAAATGACCAACCTCTCATGACTGCTCATCAAATGACCAACCTCTCATGACTGCTCATCAAATGACCAACCTCCCATGACTGCTCATCAAATGACCAACCTCTCATGACTGCTCATCAAATGACCAACCTCTCATGACTGCTCATCAAATGACCAACCTCTCATGACCTCATCAAATGACCAACCTCTCATGACCTCATCAAATGACCAACCTCCCATGACTGCTCATCAAATGACCAACCTCCCATGACTGCTCATCAAATGACCAACCTCCCATGACTGCTCATCAAATGACCAACCTCTCATGACCTCATCAAATGACCAACCTCTCATGACTGCTCATCAAATGACCAACCTCTCATGACCTCATCAAATGACCAACCTCTCATGACCTCATCAAATGACCAACCTCTCATTACCTCATCAAATGACCAACCTCCCATGACTGCTCATCAAATGACCAACCTCCCATGACTGCTCATCAAATGACCAACCTCTCATGACTGCTCATCAAATGACCAACCTCTCATGACTGCTCATCAAATGACCAACCTCTCATGACCTCATCAAATGACCAACCTCTCATGACTGCTCATCAAATGACCAACCTCTCATGACCTCATCAAATGACCAACCTCTCATGACCTCATCAAATGACCAACCTCTCATGACCTCATCAAATGACCAACCTCCCATGACTGCTCATCAAATGACCAACCTCTCATGACCTCATCAAATGACCAACCTCTCATGACCTTATCAAATGACCAACCTCTCATGACCTCATCAAATGACCAACCTCTCATGACCTCATCAAATGACCAACCTCTCATGACTGCTCATCAAATGACCAACCTCTCATGACTGCTCATCAAATGACCAACCTCCCATGACTGCTCATCAAATGACCAACCTCTCATGACCTCATCAAATGACCAACCTCCCATGACTGCTCATCAAATGACCAACCTCTCATGACTGCTCATCAGATGACCAACCTCTCATGACCTCATCAAATGACCAACCTCTCATGACTGCTCATCAAATGACCAACCTCTCATGACCTCATCAAATGACCAACCTCTCATGACTGCTCATCAAATGACCAACCTCCCATGACTGCTCATCAAATGACCAACCTCTCATGACTGCTCATCAAATGACCAACCTCTCATGACTGCTCATCAAATGACCAACCTCCCATGACTGCTCATCAAATGACCAACCTCCCATGACTGCTCATCAAATGACCAACCTCTCATGACTGCTCATCAAATGACCAACCTCTCATGACCTCATCAAATGACCAACCTCTCATGACCTCATCAAATGACCAACATCTCATGACCTCATCAAATGACCAACATCTCATGACCTTATCAAATGACCAACCTCTCATGACTGCTCATCAAATGACCAACCTCTCATGACCTCATCAAATGACCAACCTCTCATGACTGCTCATCAAATGACCAACCTCTCATGACTGCTCATCAAATGACCAACCTCTCATGACTGCTCATCAAATGACCAACCTCTCATGACCTCATCAAATGACCAACCTCTCATGACCTCATCAAATGACCAACCTCTCATGACCTCATCAAATGACCAACCTCTCATGACCTCATCAAATGACCAACCTCCCATGACTGCTCATCAAATGACCAACCTCTCATGACCTCATCAAATGACCAACCTCCCATGACTGCTCATCAAATGACCAACCTCTCATGACTGCTCATCAGATGACCAACCTCTCATGACCTCATCAAATGACCAACCTCTCATGACTGCTCATCAAATGACCAACCTATCATGACTGCTCATCAAATGACCAACCTCTCATGACCTCATCAAATGACCAACCTCTCATGACCTCATCAAATGACCAACCTCTCATGACCTCATCAAATGACCAACCTCTCATGACTGCTCATCAAATGACCAACCTCCCATGACTGCTCATCAAATGACCAACCTCTCATGACCTCATCAAATGACCAACCTCTCATGACCTCATCAAATGACCAACCTCTCATGACCTCATCAAATGACCAACCTCCCATGACTGCTCATCAAATGACCAACCTCTCATGACTGCTCATCAAATGACCAACCTCTCATGACCTCATCAAATGACCAACCTCTCATGACCTCATCAAATGACCAACATCTCATGACCTCATCAAATGACCAACATCTCATGACCTTATCAAATGACCAACCTCTCATGACTGCTCATCAAATGACCAACCTCTCATGACCTCATCAAATGACCAACCTCTCATGACTGCTCATCAAATGACCAACCTCTCATGACTGCTCATCAAATGACCAACCTCTCATGGCTGCTCATCAAATGACCAACCTCTCATGACCTTATCAAATGACCAACCTCTCATGACCTTATCAAATGACCAACCTCTCATGACTGCTCATCAAATGACCAACCTCTCATGACCTCATCAAATGACCAACCTCTCATGACTGCTCATCAAATGACCAACCTCTCATGACTGCTCATCAAATGACCAACCTCTCATGACTGCTCATCAAATGACCAACCTCTCATGACCTCATCAAATGACCAACCTCTCATGACCTCATCAAATGACCAACCTCTCATGACCTCATCAAATGACCAACCTCTCATGACCTCATCAAATGACCAACCTCCCATGACTGCTTATCAAATGACCAACCTCTCATGACCTCATCAAATGACCAACCTCCCATGACTGCTCATCAAATGACCAACCTCTCATGACTGCTCATCAGATGACCAACCTCTCATGACCTCATCAAATGACCAACCTCTCATGACTGCTCATCAAATGACCAACCTCTCATGACTGCTCATCAAATGACCAACCTCTCATGACCTCATCAAATGACCAACCTCTCATGACCTCATCAAATGACCAACCTCTCATGACCTCATCAAATGACCAACCTCTCATGACTGCTCATCAAATGACCAACCTCCCATGACTGCTCATCAAATGACCAACCTCTCATGACTGCTCATCAAATGACCAACCTCTCATGACTGCTCATCAAATGACCAACCTCCCATGACTGCTCATCAAATGACCAACCTCCCATGACTGCTCATCAAATGACCAACCTCTCATGACTGCTCATCAAATGACCAACCTCTCATGACCTCATCAAATTACCAACCTCTCATGACCTCATCAAATGACCAACATCTCATGACCTCATCAAATGACCAACATCTCATGACCTTATCAAATGACCAACCTCTCATGACTGCTCATCAAATGACCAACCTCTCATGACCTCATCAAATGACCAACCTCTCATGACTGCTCATCAAATGACCAACCTCTCATGACTGCTCATCAAATGACCAACCTCTCATGACTGCTCATCAAATGACCAACCTCTCATGACTGCTCATCAAATGACCAACCTCTCATGACCTCATCAAATGACCAACCTCTCATGACCTCATCAAATGACCAACCTCTCATGACCTCATCAAATGACCAACCTCTCATGACCTCATCAAATGACCAACCTCTCATGACTGCTCATCAAATGACCAACCTCTCATGACTGCTCATCAAATGACCAACCTCTCATGACTGCTCATCAAATGACCAACCTCTCATTACCTCATCAAATGACCAACCTCTCATGACTGCTCATCAAATGACCAACCTCTCATGACTGCTCATCAAATGACCAACCTCTCATGACTGCTCATCAAATGACCAACCTCTCATGACTGCTCATCAAATGACCAACCTCTCATGACTGCTCATCAGATGACCAACCTCTCATGACTGCTCATCAAATGACCAACCTCTCATGACTGCTCATCAAATGACCAACCTCT